ATATTATTAAATATATTAAATAATAATATATTAAATAAATATATTAAATAAACATATATAATACAAAAACGGTTTCAGAAAAGATGGAAGAAAATGAAAAAAAAAAAAAAAAAAGTGAAATCCGTTTTTCAGAAAACAGAAAACGAAAACGAGAAAATGAAAACACATTTTTTTCGTTTTCTGATTTCCACAAAAAGATAAAAACGTTTTTGGTTTTGTTTTTAAAAAAAAATTGCACCAAACACGTTTTTAACAGCTATTTTTATTTTTTTACTTTGAAAACCGTAAAAAACGAAAATGAAAACGCAAACAAACAAGCCCATTACAATCCAATTCCAGAAGGCACAAATTATAAACCGCCAGGATTTCACAAACAAGCTCCAGCTAGAAAACACCAGAGAACATTGAAATAAAACATTTTCCCATCCACTGCATGAATTAATTAAAAATCAAGCGAGTCCAAACAGCCTCTGAGGTATCCGTCAAAATGACTAGCACTAAATGTAACCTTACAATGTAAATCAATCAAAGTAGCCCTTTAGCACAAATTTATTTCACCACAAAGCTTGTACTCTACAGGAACACATGTGAGTTACCATCCAGCTCTACTAAGAAGAGCATCTTTTCGGGAGTCTGCAGCCATTATGGGGTTTTCGGGTTGTGTCTTCAATGTATACAATTGGATTCTGATCCGTCCGAGAATTGGTATAGCCCTCTCTCCAGCTCAAGATTGCCTGCTTCTTCTTTTTAAAGAAGGTAAACCCTTTAACCTTCACCACTACTGATTTTAACCCCAGATTTCTAGACATTCTTCCAACATGTTCTGCAACAGCTTCACCAGAATATCGAGTCGTTTTTGATCCTTTCAATCCCGGCACTGATCCCAATGAAGCCCCAAACTTTTTGTTCCCCTTTGAATCCGTCACAGTAACAAAACTATTGTTACGCATCAGCTTTATGTGGACAAAATCAGCACTTTTCCCAGTGGTATAACCAGGATGCCCTGTGGTGTTCCTATCCTCTACCTCAATAATATCCCTTACAAAATTCATGGGATTCCTTAAGCCGCTGAGAAAATCATTCTGAGCATTAGAACCTATGGATGAAACGAAACGCAAAG